GGTGATTGACTTCATTGTGATAACAGTAAGGACATACAGACAAAAGACAGAATAATTTCAGTTTGTTTAGCATTTAAAGCAGTTCCAAAGCAAAAGCAGGACAAGTTAATGAATCCATGGGTGGAAATATAAAATCATAAGCCATTTGACAGACACCAATGTTTTCATATGTGACTGTGATTTTAGCTACTGAGAAAACAAGTCAGACTTTAGACCTGCAAATGGTTGAACCAAGATTTTAATTCCCATCATGTCATATGGTTGCACTCGCTCCATATTGAAATTTATTGTATCAACTTGTGTTAAATGTACTGGGAGTTGGTTTCTTCTCTTACCTCATAAAGTAAACATAGTCTTTAAAAATATTTAAAGTTAGGACTTTAAAAAAGTAAAATAAACTTGTCATCCACCTCTTCCTTCCCGCTAGCTCTTTGTGTGAGTAATGCATCACCCAGGAGACATCAACCCTACACATTAACAGGCAGCCACTCGTATAAACAAACCCAATAGCTTATGGAAGCCAATTATTGGGATGCTAGTAAAGAAACAAAGATTGCAAAGAAGAGAAATTCATGAAGATTAAATGCATCTAACAATAAAATATCTTAAAATGTGAGAAAACTGATCAATTTGCACCTCTGTTTGATGCTTAATGAAGAGAAAGAAGGTTTTAATGATCGGGTTTAGTAGAAGACCTAAACAAAAATTGCAGTAATTAGAATGTCCTGATGCTTATACATTTTTAACAAGACTGAACATTCAGCTGTGTTTTGAAGGGTGGAGAAAACTGTCAGAGCTAATAACACTGGCTTATCTGATCTTTTAATCAGGAAAGAACAAGCTTTCAGAGCGCACACGTAGCCTCTTCTGGAAGGGCCTGCTTTATTGGAGAAATACCTCAGCTCACATCAGCCAAACCATCTAAGGATATGGACAAACATGTTTTAACCACTGTAAACGGGGAGGGGAAACTGCTGCTTAAGAGTGCCTGTTCGCTGTTACGCTGGCCTATAACTGAATTGCCCAGTTTTGTCCCCGAATGCAGGAGAGTTCGAGCTGGAATGTTTTAGCTACAGTTGTATTGCTCCAGAGTCGTGCGGACATTAGAGTGCCACCCAGGGGCAGATCCAATGGGGGTGTATTGGCGTGGCTGCACCCTGGTTTCAGACCACATCATGAGACTAGAAGCCACAGGATGCATCTGCATATGCTACTATTGCGAAGCAATAAACTCCAGCATATTTCATCCCAGAGTTTATTGCTCCCGGGAACCGCATTCACACTTGTGCCTGGGACCACAGCACGGTGAGTTGGGGCAGAGCAGCTCTGGCTGGCAGGAGACCTGGGGGGTCAGCCTGCCAGCCCAGGGCTTCTCTGACCCAGCTCAACATGCTGCAGAGGGGCTGGCTGGAACTCAATGGTGCTCCAGTGTGGGGCTAGCCAGCAGGCAGCCCCCTCACTGTAGCAGCCTCGTGCCCCAGCCAGCTCGTTCAACATCTACATGTGCATTGCAGCACTGTAAATAACAGTGCCATAGTATAGTACTTGTGTTTACAAGTACTAACCTATGGCGGATTTGATTAGTTTACTGCATCCTAATAGGGATACATGTGTAGATGCTGAGACTTTACTGCAGAGCTAATTAGGCAACTCCACAGTAAACCTTTCATGTAGATGGGCCCACAGGCTATCTTTCAAGTCACTGAATCAGGTAAGAATTCTCCCCACCTTCCTCCTGCTCCTCAATGCTCAGTGGCACATCACCTCTTCTCCTGTGCCTGCCACTGTTGTCTTTAGGTGCCCTGGAGATGGGGAGAGATTCAGGGCAGTTCCCACACAGCACTTTACAAAATCCTGAATCTGCTCATGGTTGCATCATAAGGATTATTTAATATTAATCCAACTGTTCAGTCTGTCTGTACTCTGAAAGAGACACTGTTAAGGTTTTTGGCCTTTCTAACACTTTCTATTAATTTAGGCAGTAACACTGGCATCATGTTTTGGCAAAGCCCATGCATGCTCCAAGAAGACTCCACTGTGCTACTTTACGCTTTTAAGCAAAACAGAAATTGTCTTCAGAAATCATTTAACTAGAAAAGGGTATTATTTAAGCCTTCCTTTTGACACATACTTTAATTCTTTTTACTTTTCTCTCACATTATTTCTATATTACTAGTTTGATTGTGAAAGATATCAAGGAGTAGACCTTTGGAGAACTAAAATAAAGGCTCTTGAACCCAGAAAAAATACACTCTGGTTTAAGAGTTTATGCCTTAATCTTCCTTTGCACCTGAGAATAGATACAAACAGTAACATAAGTAAATCATTAAGAACAATACTGTTCATAAGTTCCATGAGTATTTCCAGGAATTTCTTCATGGGAAGTGCTATAAGTAAATTCTGTAGATAAAACCTCATGGGAAGTGCTATAGGTAAATTCTGTAGATAATACCAACACTAATACCTTTAATTTAAAACAGCCTTTTTAATCCTAGAGGAGAAACTGGTTTGTCAGATGTTTAGCAGTCAAAAACATGATGTTTTTTATGCCGCTGATCTTACTCACTCTACTTACTGGCTATTTAAGGGAGTTTAATAAACCTGTACCTTTGTAGTTGTAGAGTTCTACAATGCTGCTGTTAAACCAGTCCAAAATAAGATGTACTGGGTGGGGCTACACGTGAAATTAATTCGATGTCATAAACTGCTGCAGTTTGTGCTGGACTCCTGTGGACAGCATTTGCACATGCACCCAGACTACATCACGTTGAACCAAGGCAGAGCAGCTCTGGCTGGCAAGGGGCCCCAGGGGCCAGCTTCGCAGCCTGCAGGTGCTGCAGCTTGGCTCAGCATGCTGCAGAAGGGCTGGCTGGGGCATGAGGATGCCACAGTGTGGAACTAGCTAGCAGGCAGCTCCACACTGTAGCACCCCCATGCCCCAACCAGCACTGTTCAGCATCTACACATGCATTGCAGTGGAGTAAATAACTCCACCATAGAATAGTACTTGTGTTGGGTACAACTGTCTTATGGTAGAGTTAATTAGTTTACTCTGGCCTAGTAGGGCTACATCTGTAGATGCTGATGCTTACTTCAGAACTAGTTAGTTAGCTCCACAGTAAATGTCTCATGTAGATGTGCCCACTGGGTGCATCTACATGTACAATGAATTTGAAGCAATAAAATCTGAAGCAGTTAGAGCCAGAGTGAACTACTCCTGGATGCAGCGTCTATATGCATGCCTGGAACAACTGAAATTTGAGCCAGGGTGGAGTAGTTTGCGCCAGAGCCGCTCATCCCCAGGCTTCAGGTGGTGATGTCGGACAGTGGAGGAGCTGGCTGGGGCATGAGAGTGCTGAAAGTGTGGAGCTGTGTTGTTAGCCAGCAGGCAGGAGTCAGGTCCCTGACTGGCTGGGCTGACTGGGCACAATTTACGCCCATGGTTAACTGCATGTGCATTTAATCACAGTAAATTACACTGGTGTAAGATAGCACTGTCCCCGACAGTACTGTCTTAATGTGCCATTAATTAGTTTACTGTGGCATGGGTAGATGGTGACACTTTACTCTGCAGCTAATTAATCTACTCCATAGTTAAGTACATGTGTAGACAGAGTCGCTGTGTGTTGTATCCTCAGGATCATCTGAAATGTTGGAATGCTTAATTTTATCCAGTTATTCCAAGCTTCAATTACCAGCTATCTAAAACGAGACAAGTCCAGAGATTTTTGCCCAGATCTACCTGAATTTTCCTTTCAAACAGCAGTGGCCAGGCTTTTTGTCAGACTGCAGTATAATGTTATGGGCAACAAATCCTAATCCCATAACAGTGGTACTATTATGAATGACTGTGTGTTTTAAATGATCTGACTTGGTTTCAGACATTAGTACAAATTCTGGTATAGATAAGGGAAGATGACAAGAAAATCAAGACTCTACTTAGCTGCAGAATTGGGAAAAAAAAAAGAATCAAAGTAAAAGGTCATAAAAATAGTAGGGTCAAAACAGCTGGTCTAGCTATGAAACTGCTTGGGCTACTAAGCAAATTACACTCTTGGGAATGGGGGTTCTGAAGGAAGGATCAGTTTTCAGTTTTCAGGACTTTGTTTAAACATAAAGGGTGAAATGCTAGAGTTTAGCCCGTTTTGCACACTGCTGGGTTGTGGGCTGATGCTAAGGTACAAATTAGGTCTCAGTTATGCCAGTTGCTATGGCTCCAAAAGGGGTACTTAAGCCCTTTAGAAATTATTAGAGCAGAAGTCTTAGCAGCCAGACCTACCTGCCTAAACAATACCACCACCATGTGCCTATTGGTGAAGAAGTGCCAGTGAGCCAGCACTATTCAGTTTTAGAACCATCCAGGTATTTTTTTCCCAAGTCAGGAAGTACCTCAGTTGGCTGTCTACAGGTATATTTACACCATCTCTGGACCCCACTAGGGAATGCCTCAGTAAAGCACAGCATGACCACTCTGTGCACGACACCTGTAAAATTGTACTGTAGAGAGGTGCTTAATGTGCATCATAAACTCCCTGTCGCGGGCATGTATGTTGGCATGTGACAAATGCTCAGGGTGGTAAGATTACTCCCTATGATGGACATTTGCAAAAAAATGTATTTCCGGTGGTACTATGAGAGTAAAATTAAAGAGGAATATGAAAAGGGGAGAAAAATTGTTCTGAATGTTGGACAAGGTTTTATAGTCAAACTTGTCTGATCAGAGCCAACATTAAATTTCAATACAGCTAAGCATGTGTTGTTTAGAGGCAAGTTAATTCTTGCTTGAAACTTTTATCAGTGGCTCCAATAAATGTGACATCTCTTGCCTCTAAGCTACTAAATAAAACAACCTCTGGTTGCTAATGCTCTAGTACTTTGGCCTCTGCAAAAGCAAGTTCTCTCTCTTTCTCTTCTCTTTTTTTTTTAAATTAATAATGGGGAGTACATGTACATATTACATTTGACATTAATTGTTTTTTTTAATTGAAGATTTGATGCCTGCTACTTCATGTGAATACAAACAGTCTGAAGGAGCTTTTGAATTCTTTACAAACCTGCATCTGGAACACAATGAATTGGAAACCTTAAAAGATGGATTGTATTTCCAAAACATGAGCACAAGTATGATCTTACTGTAAAACTATGTGTTTAAGCCTATGGGTAGAAGTGATACATGAGGGGATTATTTATGTTTACGTGTGCAAAAAAAAAGTAAGCCTTTGGACACCTTTCTTATGTTGCTAGTGTAGTCTCCCAGCAGTTTCTTCTTGTTTCTATAAAAGCTTCAGGACACATAGTAACACAACTACATTAGATGGTGTAAATGCAAAACAGTCGATGGCACCTCCCGCCTTAGCATCAAAGGTCCTGATTCACTTAACTACACACTTATCTTGAAGCAAGAGAGGATCTTACTACTTTCAGTGAGGATAGGTGCAGATTTAAGTTACCCTCTGTGTGAGTATGAGAGAGTTGGATCTGTATGCATCTAAAGCATAGATGTGTTGAATCTGATGCTGATCTCTCTGAAATAAGTGTAAATGTCAAGTGGTTATATGTCAAGTGTGCCTGTGTTAGCCCATAGAAATGCATGTGGATTGTAGATTTGTAACAGAATATATTGCTAATATAATTTGGGATTAAATATTAAGTCAGCCACCAAAACATTAGCATTGTTTTAAAATCTTGCTTATCCAAAGTCCAGGCTTTTCTTTTCTTTTGTTCTGGCACTTAGAAGATATTAAAACAAAAATAAACACATGGTTATAGCTCTGAAATAATCACAAGCAATCCATTATTATTTTCCTCAAGCAGTGAGCAGCTTAACATTAGAATCTGTAGTATAGCCTAGAAATAATTATTTTGAAATCACTACTTCCTAGACCCTAGATATTCTGTGATATCTCAGTTTAAAGACAATTGTATTTTCTTATGTACGAAAACATTTTTGATATGTTGGGAGTTTGACCAATATTAAAGCTATAACATTCCACAGTTCAGTGTAAGCATTTATTTTAAGAAGCTCCTAAGCCCATTTTGAAGGGCTTTTGATTATGAGATCTCCAAGAAATGTGGGGTTTTTTATTAAGTGGCATTTAACCTTTCCCAAAAAGTTTGTTGATACGATGACAGCATTGTTCATTGCTTTTCCCTACTTAACTAGTGTTTGAGGCCTGAAAAAGTATTTCTGAACACATTCCTATGAGAAGAGAAACCAAACCTTTGGTGTCTTGGCTGCTAAATTTTCTCATATTATACAAGACAATTTATAGTGTTCATTTTGCCACTGGGGAAGAAAATCCAGTATAACCAAAACTGATAATGAAGAGCATCAGCAGCATGTGGTGGTGGTGGTGATTTTTGTGTTAGTGTAACACTTATGCATCCAAATTTAGATAAGGGCCAGTTGTGCTACATGCTGTTCAAACAGCCAGTGACAGAAAGAGCTCATTCTGCAAAGAATTTCAATCTGAAATTGCGATCACTGAAGACACAATTTCAGAGGTGTCCAATGGCAGCACTGGTAGATTTTATCTGGTGTTGAATATTCTTGTCTCTGTTTATTTTTTTGCCACCCACATCATGGAAATGCTCAACATTCTCCAAGAACTGTCCTCTCATTGTAATATTTAGAGGAGTAGCTGGTTGGTTTGAGGTGGGTTGGTAAAGTATCTCAGTTTTTGTGAAATTAACAGGGAGTCCAAGCATTTCATACACTTCGCAGAAGTAATCAAGACAGGCAACACATGTCATGACACAGTCATCAGCATACTGAAGGTCAGTAATGGAGGTGTTGGTTGTCTCAAATTTGGAATGTAGCTGGTTGATGGAAAAGAGATGTCCAGCTATACAATGCTGGAAGCTGACTCTGGATGGAAGCCTACCAGCAATGAGATGCAGAATAGCTGCAATACAAATGGAATAAAGTGTAAGTACTAGCCCTGTGCAAAGTGGCTAGTATTCGCTTCAGATTCGGATTAGGCCAATTCGGGGGACAGTGATTCAATTTGGTGATTTGAATCACTGTCCCGAAATGATTCGGCTGAATCTGCTTCAGAGATTTGGTTGCCGCCGAATCTCTGAATCAAGCAGGCCCCGTCTCCTGCCCGCTTTCCCAGCCCTGTCAATGGTTGTCCCACCCGGCCCCAGCGTCCCAGTTCCTTAAAAAAAAAAAAAAAAGCCCTGCACTCACTGGCTCCTGCCAGGTTGGGGGGGGGCGATCCCACTGCCCCGCACTGCCCCGCACTGCCCCACACTGCTTGGGGGGCTCCGCCATGAGCCCCTAGAGGCCCCTGAGTACAATAGAACTGAAAGCATACTGACACGGGTAGAATCATATAGATGTCTATTGAGGAGAACGCATGAGAAAATCTTCCCAGTTATAGAGAGTGCAATATCACAATAATTACTGTAATATATTCCTCTCCTTTCCTATATGTGGTTATGATTTTGGCATCTCAGGTCACTAAGAATCTTTTGATGTTTTCTAGATTTTCAGTAAAACTGTGAGTACTTACTAAGAGAGTTTCTTTCCACCTTGCTATAAATTTCAGCTGGTATTCCATTAGGAGCACATGATTTCTTGTTTTTTTGATCTGCTTAATGGCTTTCAAGGCCTCTTGAGAAGTTGGTGGATCTGCAAAGTTGTCTTTAGTGGAGTGTTGTGGAATGGCTTTGATGTTGTCTTTGACATTAGACTCAGAGTTCAGGAGCTCTTGAAAATGCTGCTTCAACCATGCACTGATGACAGAGGCAGATGCAGTGGTGCTGTTGCATTACCCTTCTCCCCCCTTTGATCCCTGGTCTACCCAAAGTTTAACACGAACTGTGTGGTATTGGCAGTAGCATTTTTATTCAGGCAGGAATGAGGGCGTCACTTGACTTCGTGGCTCATTGTAATCTACCTGATTCCTTCCAAACTCTTCATTCCATAAGTATTAACAATCCTTTCCTTTTTCAGTTGTCTTAATGTTCCACTAATCAAACTCTTCTTTCTTCCGCAGTTATGCTGTCTGTTAGCTGCTCCTTGTAATGGTGCTCCTATTTTAATTCTAGCTAAAAACATTAGCTCAGGTATAGAAGCTTTAACCCAGGTGACCATTAGGTGAGGTGTGGAAATAACTTACACTGAAGGAGTGAATACACTATCAAGATGTTCAAGAAGGCATGATTTTATTTTATGAATCTGAAAGAGACGTACATTTAATTCTAATGATTAAAGGAAAAACATCTTTTGATTATTTTGCCTAGTTTGTTGCATTTTAATTCATATTATATGATATAGCAAATGAATGCACATTCCAATAACGTTATATTGTTTTTGTTTGATCCTAAACTGAATAATATAGCCCTGGGCCTCTAGCATATTAGTAAGATTTCTTTTTCTTTCTAGTTTCTTTGTACCTTGAAAAAATGTGTGTTGTATGTAATGATTCACCATACCGCTGCACCCCGCTTTCAGAATCCTAGATGTGCCCATAGTTGATGGTGAAACTGTCTTTAAAGAGTGGTATTCCATCCTTGGACTTCAAAGGATAAGCTTCTTGTGTATTTAGCCCATAAATAGTTTGATTGTGCTGAAGAAATTATGCATGTGGTAGCTGTCAGCAAACTTTTAGATTTCTTTTGCTTTGTCCTCCCACTACTTGTCTTTCAATTTCAAATCTTCTTCTGGGACTTAGCATTAATATGACAATAACGGTCTTGCTTCTGTTTGGAGCTGATGTCATTCTGCCAAACTGAATTTCCTTATCTTTCTCATTGAACCAGTCTTGATATTTCTTTGTGGAGAAACCTAAGGATTTTTCATATGAATCATGCATACCTTTCTTGAGACTCTTCTAGTGATTGATGGTAACAAGATCTTCAGAGAGGTTGGAGAATTTTTCACTGAGGCACTTCTGGAGATGATTGGTTTTAGCAGAGTCTTTCAAGCACTCGATATTGAACATTGTTTACGTCATTTAACATAACTTTGTTATGTTATCTTTTGTTTATGTCATTTTGGGTCAATGTGGATGGACATAAGGGGCAGTATATCAGACAATGATCAATTCAGCAGTCATCTGCAGTGGTCATAGCTTTGGTGATACAGAAATTGCAATGGACCTGGGCACACATTGTGATATAATGGGAGTGTGGGGCCATTGCTCAACAACTCAGAGAGCTGGTTACCAGGAGAAAGCTGAACTTCTGAATGACTACTTCACCTTGGTCTTTCACCATCCCAAGGGAAAACCACACCAGGTAGAGTAAATGATGAGCACAGTAGGAATAATCACCTTCCTATTATTGCCATAGAATTGGTGAAAGACCAATTAATAAAATTAGACATATACGAGTCAGCAGGACTGGATGGTCTTCATCTGAGAGTGCTGAAGGAGCTGGCTGAAGTAATTGAGGAGCCCCTGGCAAAACTCTTCCACAACTCATGGAGCTATGGAGAAGTCCCTGAGGACTGAAAGAGGGCCAATGTTGTGCCCATCCACAAGTGAGATAGGAGGGAGGACCTGGGTAACTATAGGCCAATCAGCCTAACTTCCATCCTAGGGAAAATCCCAGAAAAGTCCATCAAGGAGTCTATCTGTGATAAGCTTGCAGAAGGTAAGATTCTGAATGACAGCCAGCATGGCTTCATCTAAGGCAGGTCCTAACTTACCAACTTCATCTCCTTCTATGACCAGGTAACTCGCCACCTAAACACGAGAGAGCAGGTTGACATTGTATACCTTGACTTCCAAAAGGCCTTTGATTTAGTATCCCACCGTGTCTTTGCAAGAAAATTGGAGGATTGCGGGCTTAACTCTGAGACAGTCAGGTGGGTGAGAAACTGGCTGCAGGATAGGACCCAGAGAGTCATAGTGAACATCTGTGTCATCGTGGCGAGCAATGGGTAGTGGTGTCCAGCAGGGCTGCTTGGTACTTGGTGCAGTACTTTTCAACATCTTTATTAACAATTTAGATGTGGGAGTGAAGAGCTCATTGGACAAGTTAACGGATGACACCAAGTTATGGGGAAGCATGGTCACGCTTGAAGATAGGCTACAGTTACAAGTAGACCTAGATAGGTTAGCAAGTTGGGTGGATCAAAACCTGATGAAGTTCAGTGTTGAGAAATGTAA